ACCACTCTCTTCACCTTTCTTTTACTCTCCATATACGCTACTCTTCTTATAACACTTCTGCTTTGTAAAAACCTCTCATAAGCTACCTTTCTCTCTTTTATCATACCCTTTACTTCATCATTCCACTCTTCTTTCCTCCTGCAACCACCCTCCTATAACCACAAACTTCTGCCCCACATTCTAATACTGCATTTTTAAAACTATTCCAACCCTCTTCAACCATCCCCCCCCACTACTCATACTTGCACCAGCCCACCTTTCTGCCAATAGTTGTTTATATCTCACCCGAACTTCCTCCTCCCTTAGTTTATACACTTTCACCTCTCTCCTACTTGTTGCCATTTTCCTCTTGTCCCATCTACCTCTTACTCTAACTGTAGCTACAACTAAATAATGATCTGATATATCAGTTGCCCCTCTATAAACGTGTACATCCTGAAGCCTACCCATCAACCTTTTATCCACCAATACATAATCTAACAAACTACTTTCATTGTGTGCTATATCATACCTTGTATATTTATTTATTCTCTTTTTCATAATATATGTATTACTTATTACCCAACTTCTTTCTACACATAGCTCAATTAAAGGCTCCCCATTTTCATTTGCCCCTGGCACCCCAAATTTACCTGTTACTCCCTCCACATTTTTACCCACTTTAGCATTGAAATCCCCAACCACAAGTACTCTCACACTTGGTTCAAAACTCCCCATGCATTCACTCAACATTTCCCAAAATCTCTCTCTCTCCTCTACACTTCTCTCTTCTCCAGGTGCATATATGCTTACTATAACCAAAACCCACTTTTCACATCCAACCTTTATTTTACTCCACATAATCCTTTAATTAATACATTTATAGTCCCTCTTTTCCTGCCATAGCTTATCCTTCAACATTATTGCTACTACTCCTTTAGCTGTAACTATTTGAAACCCCTGACCTAATCCCATTTATTCCTCTCCACTGAAACTCTCCCACCCCCTTCAGCTTTGTTTCACTTAAAGCCAGAACATCAAGCTTCTTCTCATTTGTAACATCCACAATCATCTCTTTCTTATCATTCGCATAACATCCATGCACATTCAGGCTTCCCACTTTGGCAATTTTCTTCTTATTCTTTTTAGTAATTATTACAGGAAAAGGGTTACTAGCCCATTGTTCCTGGCATTTTAGTTGACTTTTACAACATGCATGGCTTAGAAAGGAAAGATTCTTATCCCACTTCCCCATGAATATAAAAGGAAAAATAATAAGAACAAGAACTATTAAGATAAAATCAAGAAAACTCAGATGAGCGTGTATAAATAAACGTGTACATGTATGTGTAGTGTGACCTTAAAATATTTTCATCCTTAGCTTTTAGTGAGTGGTGCATATATTTACTGTAGGAAGTCTGAATAAATGAAGAATGGGTATAACTAAAAACCAATGCATCAGCAAAACACTGTAAAGTAGGGCCCACCTGTATAACATCACTAAAATATGTAAAAAGGGAAGGAGAGAAAGTGACTGAAAGTATCATGTATTAATATAACTTAGAAAGCCAAGACTTATCAATGCAAGAGACTAGTGAATTTAACATTATGAGTTCAAGGCTTGCCCTATTCCTTTAAAATATTATGGATGATGATAATGATATAAACTAAGCACTAACCAGTCTGATAAAATGATCACAAAAATGCACCTTTTTTAAAGATTTACTGTTTTCTAACTTGTAAGTATGTTTTCCCTAAACAAACAATAGGAATAACAGAATCACACTAAGCACTAAACTAAAATTTTTTTTTTCCTAAAAGAAGTTTGCCTATAATAATAGCATTTCAAGACAACCTGGTGTGACAGCTTCTCCTTTCAAGTAACATTTTTGTAGCATAAAACAAAAACCACCTCTCATATTTGGTTATATAAGACCATGATTTATGCTCAGTTACCCAAAACCCAACAAATTTGCCTGTATGGTGTGTACCTGGGGCTGTAGAATTTACAGAGAATTAAAACTGTCAGGTTATTCGATGCTTTAAAAAAAAATGCTAACAAACGACTATTACCAATTTTTAGCTAGTTAAAAAAATACTTTACTCTCAATACCAATTTGTTGCTATTATGACTAAATTTACTGTCATATTACAAGAGTCATAATCACAAAAATTGTTTACTGTTAATAAAATTTCCCAAAGTTCATTAGTCTTATTTTAAAGGTATGGGGAACACTGCATTCCAGTTCAGACCGAGTCACAGCAAATATGTAAAAAGGGGCCCCATGTAAAAGGCCAATGCCTCTAGTTCATAAGAACATAAGAAAGAAGGAACACTGTATTTGTGTATACCTGAATAAACTTACTTACTAACCCATGCAAAGCAGGTCCATAAACCCTTCGCTTAGTCCAATGACCCACCTAGTCAGGTCACTTCCACTTATGGCATGAGCACGGCATCAGACCTAGTAGCACAAGCTAATCAGGTCCCAAATCACCCAAACCCACCCCCCACTTGTGTATTTATCTAACCTATCTTTAAAACTACACAACGTTTTAAGCCTCTATAACTGTACTCGGGAGTTTGTTCCACTCGTCCACAATTCTGTTACCAAACCAGTGCTTTCCAATATCCTTCCCCGAATCTGAAATTTTTTCCCAAATTGAAAAACCCCTGCTGCAAGTCCTATCTTGGTTGGAAATTTTCAGCATGCTATTTACATCCCCTTTATTTATTTCCCGTTTTCCATTTATACACCTCGATCATATCCCCCTAATTCTAAAGCCTTTCGAGAGAGTGCAGATTTCCCGGGCCCCAGTCTATCCTCAGGGGAAGATTTTTTGATACATGGGATCAACTTTGGTCATCCTCCTCTGTACATTTTCCACTGCACTTATATCCATTCTGTAATACTGTGACCAGAACTGTGCAGCATAATCTAAATGAGGCCTAACCAAGGATATATATTTGTTGAAGAACAACCAGGGACTATTATTTATACTTCTAGATATGAAGACAAGGATTCTGTTAGCTTTACTGAGAACACTAATGCACTGTTGTCTTGGTTTAAATTTTCTGCTCACCAGAACTCCTAAATCCTTTTCACAATCAGTAGTATTATGATCTACATTTAGTTTATAATGTAGCATGGTTATTTTCCTGTCCAACATTTAGAACTTTGCATTTGTCTATATTAAACTGCAATTATCATGTTCACCTTTACCTTCACACTTGAATTATCTGGTACAATTCCTGTTTGCTAAATCCCCCACTCCTAAGCATTTTCTCTTGCAAGTTTCCAATGTCTATCCAAGCAAAAAATTGGGAACATAAAAAAAGGGCATTGTTTTTTTAGGCAAACTATACCAAACTGCCAATAAAATTTTAACTATCACTTTTTTAAAATATTCCTCCCTCCTACCCTTTGTTTCTTTTTCTTTTCTTTCCCTTTTATTGTTTTGCTTCTAATTTTAAATGTTTAATCATAATCCTCAAACCCCCTCTACTTTGTTTTTTTTTTATTAAAAAACAATTGACATACATTTCACTTATGGGAGTGTTTTACCAACAGGTAGTTTTTCAACACATATTTGGAATACACCTTGAGAAATGCAGTAAAGAACAGAGTTGAAACTCAAACCAGGCCACCTTCTATAAAAAGGATAGATCACAGAGGGAACATCACATGAAAGAGTGATATACCATACCTGAATATTTGTGGTAGGTTGTCCAGTAACAACCTTGAATTTTCTTGAGCAGTCCCTTTTCTAACACATTAGAATCTGAGGAGGCTCCTACAATACAGTTGCCTTGATTGCTCCCCCCACTGCTCCTGCAGGTTGTGCTTCTTGGCCTATTACTGTTGGTGCTGGACTGCAATGAAAATAACATTTTTAAATTTTAAGAATTTAAGTACAGGGCCACATACTTTTATGCAAAATTCCGTAGTTCGAAAAGTTCCGAAAACCAAAGTTTTTTCGTGGAGTGTGGAGCATCAGCCATCTGTAAATAACACCAAAGCCCACCACGCGGTGGCATGACCCCGCACTGACAGCTAGAGTGGCAGGCATCAGTCGTGTCTCAGCACTCGTAGGGATTCACACT